AAAGTAACATCACTAATCATGAGAAATGTGAATCAAAGTCACAGTGAGATATCATCTCTCCTGTTAGAATACCTACAATAAAAAGACAGAAAATAATTACTGGTGAGGATATGGAGAAAGGAAAGCACTCAAATATAAGAGGAGGAAGGTGAACAATCAGTGGACCTTAGCTGCACGTGGGGGAGAGGCTAAGGATATAGAAGCCAAGAACGCCAGGAGGCACCTCTCACCCTTTTGTGTGGCTGTTGGGAAGTCACAGGATCTATATTTGACTGTGAACTTTCCAGTGTAGCCATAAATGGGGGGAGGAGGGGGTGCACCCACTCTTCTGTAAATAAACCCCAACTCTATGCTTTGTTAAAAGGAAAGAAAATGATAGGCATTTGGAGATAGATGAGAGGGATCTGACTAGACCTCAAGGGGATGGACTTGCACAGGGGAATGTCTGGGGACACTGATTTGACACAGTGGGCCTTAACACCCATGACAGAGTATATGGGTTCCAGTGGGGGTGCTATGGGAGGGTGCTGGTGGGGATGGGGCTATAAAGATGATTCAGATTGTTTGAGATATTCTGTATGAAATACAACAAAATTTAATAAAAAATTAAAAAACAAAAAATAAGAGGAGGAAAGTGTAAATGAGAAAGTCATAATGAAAAATCAGCATGGAGGTTCCACAAGAGACTAGACTAGAATTACCATATGATCCAGGATCCTACAAACGGGCGTAGACGCAAAGGAAATGAAATTAGTATGTCTAAGAGCCATCTGCACCCCCATGCTTATTGCAGTGTTACTCATAATAAGCAAGAACTGGAGCAACTAAAATGTCCACCAGTGGAGGAATGGATAAAGAAAATGTGTCATTTATGTTCACTAGAATATTCTTCAGTATAGGGAAAAAATGAAATCTTGTCTTTTACAGCAACACGAATGAGTTTGGAGGAGAATATATTAAGTGAAATAAGCCAACCAAAGAAAGAGACAAATATGGAAACCAAAAATGTTGACCTCATAGAAGGAAGAAGTTGGCTCAGTAGGTAAAGTTCTTACTACACAAGCATGAAGACCTGAGTTTGGATCCCCCACACCCATGCAGAAGCCAGGCTTGGCAGCACATACCTTTACCCCCAGCACTGGGGAAGTGGGCACGAACAGATCCCCAGGACTTACTGGACAGCCAGCCTAACCAAAAGAGAAAGCTCTAGGTTCAGTGAGAGACCATATCTCAACAAGTAAGGTGGAGCACGTTAGAGAAAGAAACCCAAAGTTGACCTGTGGGCTACACACACACACACACACACACACACACACACACGCACGCACGCACGCACACACACCACTGTTCTAGTTTCCTTTGTGTTGCTGTGACAAACACCATGAACAAAAGCAACGAAGGGGAGGAGAGGGTTTACATCATCTTACACTTCCAAGTCATAGTGCTATGCGCATGCAGAGAGATGAGACTCTGGAGCTTTCTTTTCTCTAGGAAGCAGCTCGTTCACACTAGCACCTAGCTCCATGGGTTTGTACCCAAAAGCCAGAGCCTGAACAAAGAAAGACTCAACCTTTTATTAGTTAGTTCCCCTTTACAGTTCGGTTTCTTTGTCTCCCATACATAGTAACACACGTTTTGTGACTGCTCCATGCTACAAGTTCATGACAGGCAGAAGTATGTGCATGCACTCAGGCACCGCCCTGCAGTCCTTTTTTTTTTGTTTTGGGGGTTCCTGCCACAACAGTTCATGGTTAAGGGATCAGGGCAGGAACTCATGCTTAGCCTGGGACCATCTGACCAAGGACCAGTGCCACCCACTGTGGGCTGAGCCCTCCTACATGGATGAAGACAATGCCTCACAGACATACCCACAGGATAATTTGATCAAGGAAACTTCTTGATTGAGTCTTCCTCTTTCCTGGTGACTCAAGGTTGTGTAGAGCTAACAATTAAAACTAACTATGCCAAGCATGAGAGCATACACCAACACGCCCCAGCTAGAACACTGGTTACCAGAGCCTGGGAATGACTATGGGCAGGCAGGGTGGGAGGATGGAAAGAGAATGGCCATTAGGTGCATAATTATGGTTGACAATAATTTTAGATTTCAAAATAGTTGGCAGAAAGGTTTTCTAGTGTTCCCAACACACACATACAATAACACATGTTTGAGGTAATAGATATCTGATCTGATCTGTTATAGTTTGGATCTTAAATGTCATCCATCCAAACATGGGCCCTGGCAGGGCTTGGCCATTTAGTGTGCCAGTTAAAGAGACAAGTCATACAAACTGAATAAAACTGAAGAGTAACTTGAGTAAATCTCCTTTCTCTGCCTTTCTGAAGAATCCTGAGGTTGCTTCTGGAATTCTAATAAAGTTCTATGTCTTGATTAGATGCGGGCTGCACAGGCAATTTGGGGGAGTCATTGAGTACTTCTTTGTATTGATATTATGCTTCAACAAAATGCTTCCGTTATAAACTAAATAACAAAGAAGACCTTC